GCAGACCATAATCTAATTTCGATGAATCGTTGAAGTGTATTTAATAAGCTTAAAAAGAAAACCGCGCGCGAATCCGTCATATCTCTTCGGAATAACTTGGAGAAGTTCGAACCAAATTTCTCTCTCCTTGCAAACGCTGAAAACGCGCATGCTTTCCGATCCCATAAGAAACTTCAGCATGACCGGACGAACGAAGAAACCACAGGAAGAGTTCGGAAATGACCAGTCAATACCTTAGCCGGCCCAAAAACGCTAGGTTTACACCAGAAAAAAAAACAGCTAGCAAAAAAGTTGAAATCGAGGTACGCGCCGCCCCGGTTGCCTTAAAGGTTTTGCCCTGGAGGAACCCTAAAATCGCGATACGATTATTGTCAAAGATTAGAGGCATAAACTTTTTGCTGTAACGATGATGCACAAGCAATTTAAATTCAGCTAACTTTGATTTTTGAGGAGCTTGAGCACGAGCAAGCATCGAAACACCTTGCCCAGTAATGGGAGGGAAATCGGTATTAAACGGAAAAATGACCATTAACATGTCGGAATCTTGGCTGAGTTAGGTCCGTTTTGCCAGAAAACGTCATTTCTTGCCCACAAAAACTTCTGAACACATTTTGAAAGTTTACCGCAATTGTTATCTTATTTAAGAGGCGAAAATTTTTAGCATGCTCTTCGCTCGATTGTGAAGCTATTTTGCGTTTTCCAAAAATTTTTTTTTGCACGGTGCATCGAAAATGCTTCAAAAAATATTATGAAATACAATGCGGAGGCCAAAAACAGCGGAAAAATTGAAAAAGTCAGTTTTCAGTTTTGTCCGGATAATTTTGGGACACCCTGTAGTTTTCTAGTTGAGTTATAGTTTTGTATTTCTAAAAAAAAATCTATAAAACCCTTTTCTATGAAGTTAATAGACGTTTCTAGACTTATGCAAAAAGTTCGAGATTCTGAAAATTCGAGAAACAATACAATATTCCTAGACATCAACTGGCAGCGCTACGGCCGATCAGCCGAGTGCCGGTGTGTGCTCCCCCCAGCCTTCTAATTGCCAATTTCGCGCCGAAAATAGGAGCGCATATTCGAGTGGCACTCCCCAGGGGATCGACGACTGGCCCTCAACAGCAAGACGAGCCGCGCAAAAATAGTTTTCTGAAGGTTATTACCGAGAAAATGGCCCGCGCGGACCGTGTAAATATTTGGCCGCGGAGATTTTTTTTCGGTCTGGAATACTAATATTTTTGGACATCGTGAAGGGTAGAAGATCTTTGGGTTTAGCCGCGATATTCAATAAAAAAAAACAAAAAGTAGGAGTTGATCAGCTTGATATTTAATTTTTGTAATTTCTTGGATGAATCAGGCGGAGAGCGGTAGAGAGGGAGAGAGGGAGAGCGAGAGAGAGAGAGAGAGTGAGAGGGAGGCAGGGAGAAAGAGAGATCGAGAGAGAGCGATCGAGACAGAGAGAGGGATCGAGAGAGAGAGAGAGAGAGAGAGAGAGAGAGAGAACGACCGTCATCGTCAAATAGTATTCTAAGTTAATGCCACTGTATCCGAAATTTTCGACTTTCCGTACCATACTCCGTACACACGTTAATCATCATACCATGCAAAACCCGGTTTTCCGGGGTCATAATGAGGATAGACTACGTGCAAAATTGCAGACAACATACGACAACAAACCCGTAGGGACACGGGATTGCGTAACGAATGAAATTCCGGCAAAATCAATGTTTCCCGTTTCTACGTAAGGCAAAATGCTGCAAAGCGGGCGACCTTTGCTTAGGCTTAGGCTTCGGCTTAGGCCTAGGTTTAGGCACCGTCCCGGTAAAATCATTTAAAAATTCGCAAGACGGAATGGGCCATGTCCGCGCCGCCGGGCCCCCAACCCCCCGTGACGCATTTAAAATTTAAATATCCCGGAAACCCCTTCATTGGGTGTTCGTTTTATGGGTGCACCTCCCACCCGCCTAGCGGAATGCCATTAGGGCCCGTTTAGGGTCCCAGGAAGGGCCCATACTCGTTAGGTTGGCCGGGGCGAAAAACGTAAAACGCGAAAACAGGTCTCTTTCTCGTTGGGTCCGTCTTGAGCCGTTGGGCCCGCCTCGGCTTCGAAAATAGCCGTGCCCCGGAAGCTCTTCGGACGTCCGGAATGTTGATTTAGCGGGATGGGGCACGTTCTCCTGAAGCTAATCAGCGATGCGCCGGAAGCGACGTTTGGGTGGAGGTGGAAAAACAGAGCAACATCTCCATCTCAACACAATAGATTGAGACAAAAATGATTCGACAAACGACAAAAGATTTAGACTTAAGCCTAGCTTGGGATTGGGCTTAGCTTAGGGCTTAAGTTGTTGCTTGGGAGGCTTAGGCTTAGGCTTAGACGTACATTTCTGCTTAGGTTTCTGCTTAGGCTTAGCTTGGGATTGGGCTTAGCTTAGGTTTAAGCTAGGTTTTTGCTTAGGCTTAGTTTAAGGCTTAGCTTAGGCTTAGCTTAGCTTGAGATTTAGCTTAGCTTAGGCTTAAGCTTATGTTTCTCTTCGGCTTAGTCTTAGGCTTAGGCTTAGCCTGGCATTGAGCTTAGCTTGGGCTTGCGCTTACGTGCTTGCTACTTAGGTTTTTGTTTAGGTTTATTAATCGTCAGAGACTTCTGTTCAAAGATAGCAGATCTCTAAGCCTAGGATTGAGTACAGGAAGAAGACCAGCTGGGACGGCCAAGCCATTCTGGGCGCAATTTTTGAGACACATCCGCTTTCGAATCCCGTTGCCCACCTCAACAATTTGGTTATACCGGCCTGTGGGGCCCAGCAGCTGTTGGGGAAACGCCGCCAAAAAAAACAAAAGCAGATTCCAGGCAAATGAGGCCGTTTCCCGTCTTTCTGAAGAATTCGGATTCGGGACAAAACCGCAATTTTTCTTTAAGGCTATTATTGTCTAGTAACGATCGAAAGTGTTTTAATAGTATTTTTAGTATTATATCACTTTATTTAAACTAGAAAACCTATTCAAGAACTTTAAAAAAAAAGGATTTTTGGTCAAAATCGTCCATTTTCGGTCGAAAATCTATATTTTTGATATTTTTCAAGACAAATTTGTAACGTTTTTGAGTTTAGGAATGGTAAAAAATTATTTAGAAACACTTCCACTATTTATATTTAAAAAATAAGATGCTAAAAAGGTCCCCGCCCCTCGCGAACGCAAAAAAACCGTCTTTGTTAAGATTGGGATGATAAGCATTTATCCTTTCCCACCCCTTTAATTCGGAACACTCGTGTTCCAGTTGTTTATTCAAAAGTCGGACCCTATACGACCCCATGCTCCTTCCGGTCTGCCTTAGCCCTCCAACATATGGCCGGAGCGGGCCTGGGCAGCTTTTTTGCGCATTTTTTGCGCCCACAGCGGCTCGGCCGCAACTTTATGAGGCGCCCTCACTTTACAATGGCCACACTCGACTCACACTACCGGCATTTGGCCGCGGTACCGGCTTCTTTCCGGTTGTTTCTAAACATAAGCCTAAGCCTAAGTTTAGACCTAAAGCGAAGCCTAAGCCCAAGCCTAAGCCTAAGCCCAAGCCTAAGCCTAAGCCCAAACCTAAGCCTAAGCCTAAGCCTAAGCCTAAGCCTAAGCCTAAGCCTAAGCCTAAGCCCAAACCTAAGCCTAAGTCTAAGCCCAAGCCTAACAAGGGAACCACCTAAGGTCAAGGTGGCGTTTCGTTATGGTACCCAGCCTATTTTGTGTAGAATTTTTTGCTGATTCCGAACCCGCTTTCAATTTTTGCTAAATAGCCCAATTTAAAAAGTTATAGCGATTTTAAGGTCATATCTGTGCCCGCGGGAAGTCATCTATCACGATGCCCAACTTTTTTATTTAAATAGGGCAGTCGATTTTTAATAGCCAATCTTGTAGAGAATTTTTTTCTGATTCGATTGGTATATTTCATTAGTGCGCTACGACTTATCGCCGATCACTTACGGGGGTGTGAAATAGGCAATTTTTCACCATTTCCCATACAAAAAACGGAGTCCATACCAAGTATCGTCGATTTTTTCAATTTTCAACAATTTTGAGTTGAATAGTTCATTCGATAGAGAAAATTTTTCTGAATACGATGGCGATATTCGTTTTTGAGGAATCAGACGGGAAAGGCAAGATAAATGACTTTGAAGTTCGAAAATTTGGGAAAAAATGGAACTTTGAAACGCTATAACTTTTTAAATTGGGCTATTTAGCAAAAAATAAAAGCGGATTCGTAATCAGCAAAAAATTCTGCACAAAATAAGCTGGGTCCCATAACGAAACGCCACCTTGACCTTAGGTGGTTCCCTTGTAAGCCTAAGCCCAAACCTAAGCCTAAGTCTAAGCCTAAGCCTAAGCCTAAGCCTAAGCCTAAGCTTTCAACCTTGACTTCGTAGTCGAAGAATTCGGGCTTCGGAAGCCGATCCAGCTCATGTTTTGTTGTTTTTGAGGGGGATTGGAACATCTGGAACCAATCTAGATTTCATGGTCCCTCTGACAAAACCGGGGAACGCAAACAACTTTCAAAGCTCTTCCCAGGAATCGAAGATATCTTTAGAAATTTAGATTTGTTCTTATAACCATGTTTTCGTAATTCTGTGGTTTCTTACCAGACCAAGCCTATCTTGTGCTGAATTTTGCCCTGATTCCGAGCCTATTTTTAAAGTCTGAAAAACGAACAGATCGATAAAGTTATGAATCTTTTTAGGTGCGCAAAAGGCAAAAATTTGCCTAAATTGGACAAGTCTTACTACACTTACCTAACTTAAACACTGCCATCACTTTTTAAATTTTATCGTTTCGCAGATTTTGAAAAGTAGCCGATTTGCGCGGGTTTTTAGCTTTAAATCGTATATAGCTTTCGAAAAATGGCTATTCCGAGAAAACGGTAACCATATTCGGAATCAACGCAAAATTCTACACAAGATAGGCTTGGTCTCGTACCATCGATTGTCACTAAAAAAACGTCACGTTATTAATGTTCCAGTACCACCGTGACCATGCTGAAAATCCTGTTTCTGCTCGTCATCGCCTCGAACACGGTCGCGTTGCCCTGGGGCGAGGTGTGCGATAGGTGATGCAGTAACTGGAAATTTTGAAGTCACGACACGCTTTAGATGCGTGCAAATGGTCGAACGACTACGGCAGCTCCCCGTCGAAGATCTGAATCAGGCTGTTGGTTTTTAAAAACGGTTTTTTGGATGATTTAAACACCAATAAATCGACGTTTTAGCGCCTGCAGCACATTTGCTTCGAATCATATGTGCGCTGCTCACACGGGAATAAGGTTGGCACGACTGTTTTTCACTTATAAGGCTCCGCTAAGCATAAGCCTGAGCTAAGTCTAGACCGAAGTCTAAGCCTAAGCTTTGCCTAAGTATACGCTTGAGCCGAAGCAACGCTTAGCCTAAACCTAAGCCTAAGCCGAAGCTTAAGCGAAAGCCAAAGCGACCGAAGCCTAAACGAAGTCTAAGCCTACGCCAAAGCTTAAGCCTAAGCGAAGACCAAGCTTATTTCTATGCCTAAGCCTAAGTTAAGTTAAATCTAAACCTAAACCCAAGCCCAAGTCTAAGTCTGGTCTAATCGTTTTATTTAGTACTGCTCACTTTGGTATCTCACCGAGGAGCGCGTCCACCGGATCCAGGCTGAGCTTCAGGTTCGCTTACGTCAAGAGATTTTACAAAATTGAATTTCCAGCAGGGAGGCCGCAACGCCCAGGTGTGCGATCGTGCCCTGGAGATCTGCCGAATCGAATAAAACACGCTTCTTTGGGCTTTTTTGATTTGTGATTTTTGTACTTTTGAACGTCTTTTTTTCAACAATTTTCTTATCAACAATTCCAACATCAATTTTGTGACATAAATTGGCGTGATAAATGAAAATTTTTGAACGAATTCGGGGGCTAATCACAATATTTTTCCCAACAAACCGGGAAAAGTCCTTTTTAGAGCTTTGTTAATGCGATTCCCTCACAGGGAGACGATTCGAGCAGCACTTGGAGGTGGGAGAGATCGACCTAGATTCTAGTTTTCAAGAATTTACGCGTTTCGCACCGGACTCCTCTTGTCGACCAAAACGACGGCACAGCCACCCCATCCGGCTCCGGTGAGCCTCGCCCCCCAGAACGCCTGCCGACCTACATATATATATAATAATCGGTTCTTTCGCATTATCGGGGGGGGGGGGGGGAATCAACGTTTTTCTTAGGATCTCTGTTTTAATTAGAAATAGTGCAATGTTTCTTAATGGTTTTTCACTATTCTTAAACGTGAAAACTACACAAATTTTTATTAAATAACATAAAAAAATCGATTTTTCGACTAAACGATCTGATTTATGAAAAATATCCACTTTTTGACATATTTGACGTTTTTTAGATAGTTTTTCTAGTTTAATTATAGTTATATATTACCAAAAACATTATTAAAACACAAATGCGGAAAACAAAGAAAGTTGCAAACTAGACTGATAGTAACAGCTCATACCTGCTCGCTTCAACCAGCTTGTCCAAACCCGGGCTGCTGCAATCGTAGTCGCCTTTCAAACTAAAAATATGGTCATATCGCCTGCTTTCTTCCTTCTCACTTGCGTAATCGATCAACAACGAATGACATGACAACAACAACCTATCATGACTGCCATTCATCAGGCTCCCCATCTCCACCAAGTCGCCCCGCTTGCAGGCTTCTTCGAAAAGAGCCACACGATGTGCTTCACCATAGCAGTGACGGGCTCGAGCACGCACGTGGAATGCAGTCACTTTAAAAAGGGCTCTGACTCTCGATCTATGTTGCTCTCTCTCTCTCTCTCTCTCTCTCTCTCTCTCTCTCTAGCTCTCGCTCGCTCTCGCACTGTCTCTCTCACTGCCTCTCTCGCACTGTCTCCCTCTTTCTCTCTCTCTCTCTCTCTCTCTCTCTCTCTCTCTCTCTCTCTCTCTCTCTTCTCTCTCTCTCTCTCCTCTCTCTCTCTCTCTCTCTAACTCACTATGCTTGGTATTCTCCGAAAGCAGAGCATCAAAATTTTCGCGCCCAATAATGGCGACGACTTCGTCAAGTGTTGGATTTTCTGGTAGTACCTCTTCGACCTATTACGATACATTGAAAATTTTGCCGGAACCTTACCAGCCTCAACAGCTCGCTCAATGATTTTCCGGACGCGTCTTCGACTTGTTTCAGCTTCCGGAAGGCGCCCCAATTCGGCAGGTTCAGGTGCTTTCCGAGGATCTGTAAGGTCGGGTTTTGGCCTCTACTTAAAGGGATCAGGAAGGCTCAGGAAAAATTAGCATGAAACTGGTTTTAGTTCATTTAGCAAAATCTTGTCTGCTCCCTCCTGCCTCGCCCCACTTTCTGCCCATTTTTTTGCATTTGCATTTCCGGTTGGCTCGTTTTAGAATTTTAGATGAGGACTGATCTACTGAGCCTTCCTGATCCTTTTAGCGTAAGCGTGGCTGCGCTTCCGGCTTACCTGAGCCCCAATGCGGCATTCAATCACCCGCTCGTTGTAGTGAGAAGATGCCGCTTTGTTCAGGGTATCTCCTGAAACTCTAGAATCGTGGCACACTTTTCTAAAGAAAGCTTCCGAAGGCTACTGTAATTCGCTCCAAAGACTACTCATCATTTGCTAACGAAATGTCGGAATTCGAAATGCCGAAATTCACAGTGTCGAATTTCATGATGTCGACATTCCATAATGCCGAAATTCATAATGTCGAGATTTCAAAATGTCGAAATTTCAGAATGTCGAAATTTTTTTCATAGGACACTGGTGGTTTCCAGGAGGTTGTGTAAATTTCAATATTGCGCTTTTCCGCATTCTGAATCTCGGGATTTTGATTTTCTGCATTTTCGAAAAAACCCTACCCGAGTGCAGCACCACAAATAGCGCATCTTCGGGCAGCTGGACTGGGCGTGACTTTAACGGGTTGAAGTCGATGCGCAAAGCTGCGCCGAGCGGAGAGAGAACCTTAAAGGGGGTTGAAAGTTTGAAATTGAGTCGACTATTGGATTGCTCGCGGCGTTAGAGACCGCTGGATCTCTGAAACCAGAGTCATAATCCCGACAGCCAAACTCCTACAGCGAAAATCCCGACGGCCAAAATGTGAGATTTCCCGTCGTTTTACCCATAAATGGTTTTCAAACCTGGGGTTTCTGGCTGTCGGCATTTTGGCTGTCGGGATTCTGGCGCTTTCTCCTACCTCACTGGCCTGATCCATGCCACCACCGCAAGTTCCGATCATCTGCTCGGCCTTTGCGCACAGATCAGCTAACCATTCCCTAGGAAGATGCTATAGAGGATCAGAGAGTGAAACAGGGGCAGAGAGAACGAGAGAGAGAAGGAGAGAGAGGGAGAGAGAGAGAGAGAGAGAGAGAGAGAGAGAGAGAGCAAGGGGAATTCCAGAAACCTCGTGAACTTCTCGGTGAAACCCTCGCCGGTGTGGAGGGCGAGCGTTGCCAAGGCTGAGGCACAGACCAGGCTCGACGATGAGGAGAGACCGGATGCTGGCGGGATGGTTCCTTTAAAAGAAGAACGATAAGAAAGCGCTTAGGCTTAGGCTTAGCTTAGGCTTAGCTTGGGCTTAGGCTTAGGCTTAGGCTTAGGCTTAGTTTCGGCTTAGCTTGGGCTTATGCTTAGGCTTAGGCTTAGGCTTAGGCTTAGGCTTAGGCTTAGGCTTAGTTTAGGCTTAGGCTTAGGCTTAGGCTTAGGCTTAGGCTTAGGCTTAGGCTTAGGCTTAGGCTTAGGCTTAGTTTAGGCTTAGCTTGGGCTTAGGCTTAGGCTTAGCTTAGGCTTAGTTTCGGCTTAGCTTGGGCTTATGCTTAGGCTTAGGCTTAGGCTTAGGCTCAGGCTTGGGCATAGACTTAGGCTTCACCTTTCATCAACACGTTCATGCCCTTCTGCTCCTTATCTTGCACTCCGATGGCATCGAGCACTCCCCGCCAGCCGCAGAGCACGTAGTGGAACCACTTGGGCGGTGTCGTACCCTTCCAGTCAGATGGTAGAGCTACCGTATACTCTCTGGAATGCGAGTTAGCATAGATCTCTTTTTTCTTAGGATCTTATTTTAAAATATAAATAATGGAAGTGTTTTTAACTGGTTTTTACTATTCCTAGATGCGAAAACTTTACACTTTTTAAGAAACATCAAAAATATCGATTCCTAGACCTCTCAAAAGACATACGGGTACTTTCCATCCTCGGCATTCTTGAGCACTATCTTTTGATCTTTGTTTTCGGCTATCAACAGCTCAGTGCCGAGTGCGATTGCCATCGGCAACACCCCGTACCCATTATAATCAATGTGTTCGCCTAAACAAACCTTCGTAATTATCCCAATCCTTCAAATTACCGATCAAATTGACACGGCCGGGGCATCGAATGTGGTGGGTTGGCTGCATGCCAAATGCCTTCTCAAACGCCGCCTCCATACCTATCGCTGCAAAAACTGGAACTCCTTAGTCAGAGTAAAAACAACAAAATCCTTATTCATAAAATATAAACGTTGGAAAAATTCTAAAGTTCTAAAAAGAATTTTGACAATGTTCTTTGCCAGAACCGACATTCTAAAACTAATAGCTACCCGAATCCATCTGCCTCATATGCAAAAGGCCCGCAGGCAACGCGTGATAAGGCTGTTTGCCTTTTCCCGCCTTTTGATATGGACGGGCCATAGATCCAATCAAGATTTAAACAGTACTAAAATTGTAATATTAATAGTTACTATTATAAGTTACTTACTGTGCTATTGGTCGCGATAATTTAGTCCTTGAAAAAATAATGAAATTTTTAAAAATACGATTAAACCCCCCTCCCCCCGCTAACGAACCAGTACCTCAAATAATTATCAAATAGAAGGCTATTAAATTTGTCGAAAACCGAGGATTTAGAAAAAATTACAAAATCTGATCATAGCCAATTCAATAATGATACTTTGCGGAAAGTCTTTTTAGTAGGTCGAAAAGAATAAAAATTTCCGGAAAAACGGGGTGTGGTCAGTTGGAAATTGGCCAGCACGGCACCTATTGATTTTTTGCAAGCGAACAGACTGGCCCGAGCTTTCAGAGAATGCTCCATTTTTCAAAACAATACTTTCTCCGACAGGGTTTTTAAAATCCATTTTTTAAACTTTGCATAACTATCTTATGTGGCCTAAGCAATGTCAGGAAAAATAGATAGGAAAATGGTTCTTTTGGTATTATCGGGGGGGGGGGGAGGGAAATTTTTTGTATAAATCTAGAAATGCCTACTTAATAGAAAGTGTTTGTATAGTGTCTTTAGTAATACATAACTATATTTTAACCAGAAAAGCTATCTGAAAAGTTTCAAAAAACTCGAAATTTTGGTGGAAATCGGCCTTTTATGCACGAAAAATTGATATTTATGATATTTTTTAGTAAAAATTTATAAAGTTTTGACGTTAAGCAATAGTAAAAACAAATTAAAAGCATTTCCACTATTTACATTTGAAAATGAGACCATAGGAAAAAACTTGTTTTGTAAAATGTTTCCGCTTCTCCGCTTTACCCCGAAAACCGCGTGTAACTGCTTGTTTTTTTTTGCATTTGTACATTCCAGTGCTTGCGCCGAACTATTTTTCATCTGCTTTACTCGTCAACACCAACACTTAAAGATGGAGAGATGGAGGCAGGTTAAAAATGATGATTAGATGGAAGCGCGGCGTCGAGAGCGTGGGAAGGCACACAGACACACACACACATACGCACACGGGAGCATCACGTCCAGGAGAGAAAGAAAACAGAATGGACCTTGAAAAAATTGGGGGCAGGGGGCGGGTTGATAGAATTCCGGAACGGGGCATGTAACGGGGGAATTTCGCGCTATTTTCGATCGACGCAAGTGGGGGGATGGTTGCGTTCATGGATTGCTGTTGGAGCCGCCGGCGTCAGTCGCAAGCCTAAGCCTAAGCCTAAGCCTAAGCCTAAGCCTAAGCCTTGACCTAAGCCTAAGCCTAAGCTTGAGCCTAAGCCTAAGCCTAAGCCTAAGCCTAAGCCTAAGCCTAAGCCTAAGCCTAAGCCTAAGCCTAAGCCTAAGCCTAAGCCTAAGCCTAAACGAATGACGTCGGCGGCTCGTTAGAAACAGGAAGGAAGGCTAGGCACGCGCTATTCGAATATACAGAATTGAGAACAAAGCGACCATTGCTGGTGGAGCACTAAAAAAACGATTTTTGGTGATGGTGGTGGCTGTACACAAAAGAAGAATCGCGACGAACGGCAGAAAGGAGCAGCAAATTAAATTAGACGACCAGGTCGGCGATGAATCAACGGTTTAGTACTCCTCATCGGCGACGAAGATCTGTAAGAAAATTTGGCTCTATCCTAATAGCGGGGACCATAGAAATTATCGTGGACCATAGAAAATAACGGGGACCATAGAAAATATCGTGGACCATAGAAATTATCGGGGACCATAAAAATTATCGGGGACCATACGAAATATCGTGGACCGATCGCGAATATCGGGGACTTTAAAATCGGCCATTTGTGCCAAAATTTCGGCTGATCAATATCGTGGACTTTAAAATTTGGACTCGAGCCGGGCAATGGTCCACGATATTGACCGATAGAAAAACCGCGGAAAACGTGCAAAAAACGTCAACAACAGCATCAAAGTTCATTAAACTGCATCAATCTCTCAATGTCCTATTGTAATTTTTATTTGTTTACAAATTTATGATAATTATTAACACTATATGTTTTTAAAAGGCCGTTTGCCAGACACCCGAACGAAACACCACTATTGCGACTCTAAAGGAGAAGCCAAGTCGATTGAAAAAAAGAGCAAAACGAATTACGCGAAACTGAGTCCGGAAGGGAATCGAACCCGCGATGGTACTCCTGGGGGGTGCTGGTGACAGACTCTAGAGGGTGCCGCCACCTCCCAGGCGAACGACCCGAGTTCAATCCCAGCCCCCTTTTAGAAACCGAATTTCTTTTTGCTCTTTTTTGCAATCGTTCTGTTTTGATCTCTAGATACGAAACACTGATTCGACGGAGAATTTAATTGCGCATCTTTTAAGAGAATTTGAAGAGTGGCGACGCATACCCTTTAAATAGAAAATTGCGAAAAACGTTACTATTTACGCGGTATTCCTTTGTTCCGACCATGCATGCATTTTACTCAACTTTGATGCTGTTGTTGACGTTTTTTGCACGTTTTCCGCGGTTTTTCTATCGGTCAATATCGTGGACCATTGCCCGGCTCGAGTCCAAATTTTAAAGTCCACGATATTGATCAGCCGAAATTTTGGCACAAATGGCCGATTTTAAAGTCCCCGATATTCGCGATCGGTCCACGATATTTCGTATGGTCCCCGATAATTTTTATGGTCCCCGATAATTTCTATGGTCCACGATATTTTCTATGGTCCCCGTTATTTTCTATGGTCCACGATAATTTCTATGGTCCCCGCTATTAGGATAGAGCCGAAAATTTTTATAGAATAATTAGTTTTTTTTTCTAAAAAAAGAAGATCACTTACCCTGCTTCCGGATTTTCCGCCGGCCACTGTTCCACGGTGCTTGGCACGGATCAGGTTCAACGAGCTCTCGGCCTGGAAAATGGATCAATCCCTACAACCGCCAGCCCTCAAATTGGTGATTGTGGATAGGTTGGAGGGTTTTACTACCTGATCGGCACGGCCCTCCGCATCTTCCAGCTCGCGTTGGTACCGCCTGACACGCTGCAGATTGGCCATCGTCACTCCCTCCTGAAAGTTCAGAATATGCAACAGTTACTGGCAACAAAATCATCGGTAGTGTTTTGTTGTGGAACTGGGGGGGACAAGTAAAGGGGGAAACGGCCAAAACGCGGTTGCTCTTTTCCCTAAAAATTTCAGTAAATGTAAGTACGGTATGTACGTATGTACGGTAAAGATTTGCTTCTTTCGCGGGGGTGTTACCTTGCAGCGATAGCGCTGGTTGTACGCCCGGTAAATTTCTGGGTTCTGTAATTTTTTTTTCTGGTATGGCTTTGAAGAGATTTCGGCAAAATCTTGATACCCAGGTCTAAGCGAAGCCTAAACATAAGCCTAAGCTTAAGCCTAAGCCTATGCCGAAACTTAAGCCTAAGCCTAAGCCCAACCCAAGCCTAAGCCTAAGCCTACGCCTATATCTAACCTAAGCCTAACCCATGCCTAAGCCTAAGCGAAAGCCAATGCTTAGGCCTAAGCCTAAGCCTAAACCTAGGCCTAAGCCTAGCCTAAACCAAGCCTAAGCCTAAGCTTAAATCATGCCTAAGCCTAGGACTAGGTCTGAGCCAAGCCTAAAAGTCCCACAAAACGTACTGATTCGGACAATTGTCTCTTCTGGATGTTCAGCTTCTCCATCAGCCGGTCAGCCGTGTCCTGGGCCATCACGAAGTTCTTGTGCTCCTCGTCGACCTGCTGTTGGACTTCCTTGACCCGGCGGTCCTTCTTGCGGAGGGCGTTCAGGGTTTCCTTGTGTCTTCTGCCTTCCTCATCTAGGGCCGTCTCCAAGTCGCGGATGCGGGTCTCCAGCTTGGCGATGACGCGCTTTCCGCCGAGGAGGGCGGCAGCTTCCGCTTCCTGGATCTGCACCTGCAGTTGCTTGCACTGCTCCTCGAGGCTCTTCCTCAGGGCATCGATCTTCATCGAGTGCTCTTGCTCCTCGTGCAGCTGCTCGACAGCTCGGGCCGCGTCGGCGAGGGCGCGGTTGGCGCGCTCGTCGGCGGCGTGCAGTTCCTTGGTCACCTCGTCGAGGTCTTGCTGGAAATTTGAGGATTAGAATGCCTAGTAACTTAATAGAAAGTGTTTTTCAACAAAAAACTATGTAATTTCAAAACGTGCATTTGAAAAATGAGTTCCTAAGGAAAAAAATGGTTTTTTTGACCGAACCTGAGCAGTCGACAGCTCGGTCTCCAATTTGTTCTTGATCGACGTGAGGTTGTTGTTGATCGAGATGAGGTCCTGGATGCGCACGGAAGCCTCTTCCAGCTCCATTTCGGCTTGCTTCCGGGCTCGGATGGCATTGTCCAGGGCCGACTTGCACTCCTCCAGCTCGGCCGCCAACGCCGAGATCTTCCTCTGGGCGAGCGCGTACGCGTCAAGGGTCTGCTGCAGCTGGCGCTGAGTGTCCTCCAGGTTTGCCTGCAGCACCTTCAGCTGCTCCGACTGCTTCTTGATCGTCTTCTGGGCTTCGATGTTGGCCCTGGAATTTGGTCAGCTATGAAAGGTCAGTCTAAGCCTAAGCTAAGCCTAAGCTAAGCCTAAGCTAAGCCTAAGCTAAGCCTAAGCTAAGCCTAAGCTAAGCCTAAGCTAAGCCTAAGCTAAGCCTAAGCTAAGCCTAAGCTAAGCCTAAGCTAAGCCTAAGCTAAGCCCAAGCTTCGGCCTAAGCCAAGCTAATCTGCAAAGCGTTACACATCCCAAAAATGCCCTTGTTTCCCCCACCTGTTCAAATTGTCGATGGTCATCTCCAGCTCGGCGATCTCGGCCTGGTACTTCTTCTTCAGACGCGAGATCTCGGCCTTCATGCGGGCCTCAGCATCAGCCAGCGCCGCCGCCAGCCGGTCGATCTCGAACTGCATGTTCTTGCGGAGCGCCTCCATCTCCTCCTCCTTCTCCTGGAGGCGGCGCTCGAACTCGACGCGCAGGGCTTGCAACTCGGCGAGGGCGCGCGCCGCGCGGTTCTCGGCATCACGGCGCTGCGCATCCGCTTCCTTGAGGGCGACCTGGAAATTCGGGTATTAAACGTGCAACACGAGCCGGCGAAATAGCCTAAGCCTAAGCCTAAGCGTAAGCGTAAGTCTGAGCCTAAGCCTAAGCTTATAGCCCTTGACCAAAAAAAACGTAACCTAGTTGAATGAACGTACCTGAAGCTCGCGGATTTCGCCAGCAAGACGAGCATTCTCGAGGTCGAGCTCGTGCAGCTTCCTATTCGCGTCAGCAAGGGCCTCCTTGGCCTCGGCGAGATCGTCGTGCAACTTCTTGTTCTCACGAGCAAGAGCCTCCTTCTGCTCGACAACCTTCTCGTACAAATGCTTCAGTTTTTGCAGTTCAGCATTGGCGGCGCGCAGCTCACGCACGGTGGCTTCGAGTTCCTCGGTGATCTCATCGATGCGCACCTTCAGCTCGGCCACCTGCTTCTCCAGGGCCTCCTTGGCGCGCTCGAGGATGGCGATGGTGTGGTGCGCCTTCTCAAGGTCGACGATCAGCACCTCGACCTCACTCTGCAGGCGGCTCTTCGCCTTCTCCAGCTGGCTGATCTTCTGCAGCATAATCTCGATCTGTTCCTCGTATTCGGCTTGCTTTTGGAGCATCTTCTTGCGCAGCTCCTCGACGTCCTCGTGGTGGAGTTGGACCTAGAGCGGCGAATGAGCATGACCCCGGTAATTACTCCGTACCTCAGCATCGAACTTCGACTTCCACTGCGTGATCTCGGTGTTGGCAAGGGAAAGCTTGTGCTCGGCATCGGCCCTGGAGTGAGGATTTTTGTTATCAAGGAAAGTTTATAGGTAGGTAAGCGGTTCTTTTGTATTATCGGGGGAGCCAACTTTTTTGGTTAAAGCTAATTTTTCAAAACATAGTGTAAGTGTTTCTAAAAAGTTTTTTATTATTCCTAAATGTGAAAATTTACCAATTTTTCATAAAAAACCCGAAAATGCCCACGTTTTTAACAAAATTTCGACTTTTTAAGGTTTTTAGACGCAAGCTTCTAAGCTTCAAACCTGGCTTGAGCTTCCTCATCCAGAGCGGTCCTGACGGAGTCGAGCTCCAGTTGCACCTGGTGCAACTGAGACTGAAGCTGAGCGCGCTCCTGAAAATGTGGCAATTTTTGCGGGTTTCTAGGGGTTAAAGGGGCTCCGAAATCTGGTAACCCGGCATTGATTCCTGGCAACTAGTCAGCAGCGACCGCAACGCGACCGCGTCGCATGATTTTTTTTGCTCCTGTTTGGACGTGAAAACGCACGACATGTAATGGCGGCGCACTCAAAAAGGCGTGTTCCGAAACGTTCCGGTTCTACTCAAAAGTTCTACGTTTTTCTTCATGCCTAAGCCTAAGCCTAAGCCTAAGCCTAAGCCCAGGTGTAAGCCTAAGCCTAAGCCTAAGCCTAAGCCTAAGCCTAAGCCTAAGCCTAAGCCTAAAGCCCAGGCCTAAGCCTAAGCCTAAGCCTAAGCCCGGGTCTAAGCTTAAGCCTGAGCCTAAGTCTAAGCCCAAGCCTAAGCCTAAGCCTAAGCCTAAGCCTAAGCCTAAGCCTAAGCCCAGGCCTAAGCCTAAGCCTAAGCCTAAGCCCGGGTCTAAGCTTAAGCCTGAGCCTAAGTCTAAGCCCAAGCCTAAGCCTAAGCCTAAGCCCAAGCCTAAGCCTAAGCCTAAGCCTAAACGAACCCAAGCCTAAGCTAATTTTGACTTCCTTATCCCTTTAAAAACGTACCCGTTCGGCATCCTCAAGGCGACGACGGGCCTCCTCGAGTTGTTGGGCGAGCGTGTACTTGACGTGCTGCAGGTTGTCGATGGTCACCTTCTGGTCGTGGATCTCCTAGAAAGAAACCGAAACGTCAGTAGGTGATCAGCCCAAAAAACCTTCAACAAGTCGTTGTTCTCGGCCTGGAGTCGCTGGCGTTGTTGGGCGAGGTCGTTGACGTGCTTGTTGAGATCGTCGACCTTGTTGGCCAACTCGCACGCCTGCGCCTCGAAGCGTTCGGCGGCCTTTTCGGCGGTGTGCTGAAATCAGGGTTGAATTCGAGTTGCGCATAGCTTACGAAATTTCAGAATGTCGAAATTTTTTTGCATGGCATTCGGTTTTTCTGGGAAAATTAGCTTATGTAATTTGCGACATTCTGAAATTTCGGCATTATGAATTTCGACATTCTGTTTTTCGACATTTTTAAAGAAAGAAATCGATCTTGTTCTTCCAAAACGGAGCTCGCATTTAGTTAAAAATACAGGTTTTTAGGTTTTCAGGATTTGTCTGCTAAAGTAGAACATTTTAATATCATTTTTTGATTTTTCCTTGAAACCTTCAAGATAAGCCGTGATTAAAGCAATATTGGGAAATTTTCCGCTTAACGAGTACAAATTACACCGTCCGTGGACAGTTGAGCGTGCATAGGCGCGTCTCGTACTACTCGGGGCATGAATAAAGCGAGGTACCTTGTCCTTCTGAAGCTGGTCGATGGTCTGCGTCAACTCGATGACCTCGTGCTGGAGGCGCTGTCGGTCACGGTCGACCCTGAATTGTCATAGATTTTCCAATATTTCATTATTTTGGGGAATTACATCAACCCGGCCCGCCGGCAGAGCACCAAAACTATATATTAAGCATTTTAATGCTAGAGTAAAACGCAATAATTTAAGAAAGTTATGACAAACGCAAAAATTAGCCTGAAAATGGAGTTGATAGACTATTTTTGGGATTTTCGATGTTTTTCGAAATTCTGTTAACGCTAATCGTTAGAGCATCAAAAATATATTTGACGTTTTAGAGACAATCCCACATACTGTAATTTAAAGGGATCAAAAAGGCCCAGGAAAAATTAGCAATGTCCGCCCCCCCCCCCGCTAACGAACCAGAACCCGGAAAGGCACAGGGAGTTCTTTTCTTTCTACAGACACGTTAGCTCCGGAATGTGCGGAACATTTCTCGCGTAGCCCCGCAGTCAGCTCAACCGGTAGAAAAATGAGAGCTCGGAGACGGATGGGCTGTGTAATGGCCGGCAATGTTACCGCAGGCCGACACTTTTTGGGGGAGCTTTTTTGGGGGTAGATGAACGAGGCCGGTGCTGATGCCACCGAAGGACAGCATTTTTTGAGCTTATCTAGGCCCCCCGCTAGTGCACCAGAACCTACATAATGCCGATTTACAGAATTTCCGACGTACTTGGCATATTTTTTCTGCTGTCCCTCAAGCTGCTCCTGGTAGTCGAGGCAGGAGTCTTGGTGCTTCTTGCGCAGCTGGTTCATCGCATCCTAAAAAACGACATGCCCATCGCGTGAAAGTGGTGAAAGCGGAAGTGCGGCCTGCGAAGCCTACCTCGGACTCGATCTGGCTTTCCTCGAGCAGCTTGCGCAACTTCACGAGTTCGGCCTCGCGCTTGCGGTTGGACTCGATCTGAAATGCAGGTGTACCGGGTGTTTCATAACCCTAAGCCTAAGCATAAGCCGAAGCCTAAGCCTAAGCTTAAGCATAAGCTTTAGCCTACGCAGAGCCAAAAACTATATAACGTGCCGGATGTTGTACCCACCTGGCTGTCCGTGGTGCCCTCAGCATCTTCGAGACGATCGGTGAGGGAGATGAGCTGCACTGACAGATCAGCACGCTCACGCTCGATCTAAAGTCGGTTCTATTCCATTTGCATCTATTAAAGATTCGGGCAGCTTGACAACATTTCTTGTACATTTGGCAAAAAATTCTGGAAATTCGCAAGCGCTGAAGGAATATTTTCTGGCCTCTACACATTTCGAGAGCCATCGATTAAAAGGAGCGACTCACCCGGTTGCGCAGCTCACGCTCGGACTCGAGATCTTCCTGCAGGAGACGGATCTTGTCCTGAAATCGGGGGTTTTGTCCTCGCTTTATTTGAGCACAAGATTTGCGTTTGCCCTCTTGAGGATTTGCCATCATTTTGTCGAAATTGATTTTGTCGAAAATTTAACTTTGTCGAAGTTTCATTTGCCGGAAATTTGTTTTGTGAAAATTCGATTTTTTTACGACAAAATGAAATTTCGGCAAGATGATCTTCCACAAATTGAAGCCTAAGCCTAAGCCAAAGCCTAAGCCTAAGCTTAAGTTGAAGCCAAGCCTAAGCCTAACCCCATCCTGGATTGCATCTCAAAGATCATCATCCTCTACCTCGGGGTGAATCCCCGAAATTGATCCCCCACCACTTGGCTGCTGCTTTTATTTGTTGGGGTGGGCGAGAAAGGGAGGTGACGGGGCCAATACGAGGCCGATCAAAAGAGAGCTTCTCCCCCTTGTGTCCCGAGGACAGTTGTGTACAATGGAGTAGGCGGCTCTTTTCCGCTTAGGGCACCAACAGCCCGGTTAAAGGGGGGGATCAGAAAGGATAGAATGGGAGGAGAGGGGGTCAGTTGTCGTCTCTAGCTGGCCACCGCCGGGCCGGTGGTAATATCGATACGTAAAAAAAGCCGCCGATTTTCGCCTAAGATTCTCTCGGACCAGCCGCACCTCGGACAGTCTGAGCCTAAGCCGGAAGCCTAAACCTAAGCCTAAACCTAAGCCTAAGCCTAAGCCTAAGCCTAAGCCTAAGCCTAAGCCTAAGCCTGAGCCCAAGCCTAAGCCTAAGCCTAAGCCGAAGCCTAAGCCTAAGCCTAAGCCTAAGCCTAAGCCTAGGCCTAAGCCTGAGCCCAAGCCTAAGCCTAAGCCTAAGCCTAAGCCTAAGCCTAAGTCTAAACCTCAGCCTAAGCCTAAGCTAAGCCCGCCCGATTGACCCCCACCCCTGTCTCCATCTATTGCTAACCAAACCCGAAAAATGGAAACTTGCCTCGAGTCGAGTGAGCGAACCCAAGTCGGCGACCGACATGGCGCCGAAGGGGGCGCCGAAAGCCGACACAGATGTGCTCTGGAAAAGCGACAGATCTATTGTTTCGGAGTCTACATGACGCCTTCGTCTTGTACAAGCCACACAAAATAACCAAGATCGCTGCGAAAAATTTAGTGGTTCTTGCGCATTATCGGGGTGGGGGGGAGCTGAACTATTTTGCATGCGCCTAGAAACGTCTAGCAACTTAATAGAAAGTGTTTTAATAGCGTTTTCAGAAATATATAACTCAATTCAACTAGAAAAACTATCTATAAACCTTCAAAAGTCAAAATTTTGAAAACTTGGCCATTTTCGGGCGAATAATCGATATTTTTGAGGTTTTTAATTTTATATATAAATTTTAAGGTTTTTGACGTTTAGGAATTTTTAAAAACCATTTAGAAACACTGCCACTATTTATGTGTGAAAAATTGCTTCTAAGAAAAAGTTGGGCCCCCCCCCCCCCCCCGATAATGGGAAAGAACCGAAAGGTAAGGTCAGCCTGTACCTACCTTATAGACGACGTTCGTCTGAGCCGATGATGGGCTCCGGTAGAGGTTGGACATGGCGGCTCCGGTGACCCTGGCGTTTCAGGTAAAGCAAATGGCTCGTTTTTCGAGAGCGAGAGGTATATGAATAAAGGCTTCGGCACACACACGCACACCCACACCGGCCGGTCGTCGGTCGTCGTAGAGGCTCACGCGGCGAGCTCTACAAGTCGCGTGAATGGACGAATGGCAACGGCACGGGAAAAGCATGGATGTGGAGGGGAAAACGTCAGAATACCGACATTCAAAATCCCAACATTCAAAATCCCCACAGCCGAAATCTCGATATCAAAATCCCGACAGCCATATTCCCGACGTTGAAAATCCCAACATTCAAAAGCCCAGGAGCGATAATGCCGACAACCTAATCCCGTAAGCCAAAATTTCGACAGCCAGAAACCCCAGATTTTAAAACCATTTATGGGTAAACGACCGGATATATCACATTTTTTCTGTCGGGATTCTGAATGTCGGTATTTGGCTGTCGGCATTATGACTAGAATTCGTGTGGAGGGTGTGGGGCGAAAAGCAACAGCACAGAATAGACAGGACCCTATGTCAATAGGTCTACGCAGTAGCTTCCGGGTTTTAACTAATTAAAGGGATCAGGAAGGCCTAGTTGATCAGGGCTCCTCTATAATTGGCAACGAGCCAATCGCAAATGCAAACGCAAAAAATGGGCGGAGATTGGGGGCAAAGCAGGAGGGAGCAGAGAAGATTTATGCTAATTTAGAACTCAATCCGGTATTATGCTAATGGTTCCCGGGCCTTCCTGATCCCTTTAAGTCCCCAAGTTTACTTATAACACCAGGGTTGAAAAACCGCTTCGCGGCTTTTCAACCCTGGCCCCGTCTAGGATCGATGAAGTTATTGAATTTGCATAATTACCGAAAACTGATCACCGAAAACTGAGAAGCGCGTCCTCTCTTCCTTTTTATGTGCCATTTCCCCTTCCGACGTATGCTAATTGCTTCCTAACAAAGAGGTTGGCGGAAAACTTTACAAAAACCTAATTTTAATATCGAAAATAGCAATTTTTCAAAACTTTTATGTGTGTGCAGTCGATTCCGGCCCCTTCTTTAGCCTATGACGTTTCTTCCCTACCGAAAAAATGCTTCCCTGAGGCTGTAGGTGCGGAACATCCAAACGGAAGTGCATGCAAATATACACACACACACACACAGACACTATTTTTTTTATATATAGTAGGATACAACACTTTTTATTTCGGGGTAAATAGTTTGGCAAATTTTGAAACACGGCTCTGAATCAGCACAAAATAGGGGGGGTCGCGCGCAGAAATTCGATTCTCACTTAAAAATTTTTCCTTCTGATAAAAAGGGTCTTTCCGGGAACATTTCTTCGGGATTGTGGTTTTCGAGGTGTCAACCAGTAAAAAGGTCCGACTAGCCAATCAAAAAGCAATCAATAAACTGTAACTTTAGGTAACGCACTCCAAGAAGAAACGCCGGAATCGATTGATGGATGTGCTGAAGCCGGCAATCCTAGGACCACCACGGGCCTCTCCATCGCAGCTGGCTAGAGTGGGCAAACACGCTCAAAAAATGCTGTGATCCCGCGCCAATTTCTTGGGATCGTGGCGCGTCTCCGAACGGCGTGTTCGGGGCAAGCGACACGTTTCAAAGCGGATTAAAGGGATCAGGAATGTCCAGTAGATCAGTGGCCATCTGTAATTGGCAACGAGCAAACCGGAAATTTTAATACAAAAAACGTGCAGAGAGTGCGGCTAGGCAGAAGGGGGAAGGGAAGGTGCTAATTTTAGATCTAAAACCCGTCTTTTTCTAATTTTTCCTGGGCCTTCCTGATTGATCCCTGTAAGACCCAAGGAAGTGTCAGAATTATCGACGTTGGGAAGTCCTTAGGCTCTGGTCGGCTAGCCAAACGCCGCGTCTATGCACGGCCGCAAATGGAACGTCGGGAACTGTCAGAATTTTCCTGAAAACACGAACAATGACCGACGATCAGCAACCTAACATAAAAAGCGGAACGCAGAACAGACAGACAGACAGTTCTAATCCGAAGCTTCTACTAGTTGTGGATCCCGTTAAGAGTTTACTTTACCCCTCCCCCACATCCGAAGGGTCTCAAAGCTTTCGATATTTTCGCCATTTTTGTCGTTTTTTTTTGCAACGCCATTCGATAGAGCGTCAAAAACTATACCCTGAATTTTGATCCTAGCCTAAAATAATGCAAAAAATTGTTATAGCCCGAACCATCCGGTTGGGGGGTGAAGAAAACCGTAGCCTGGACCGCCCCAATCGGTAAAAACTCTAAATTGGCTAAAACAAGCCCAAAAAGCGGGATCTGGTTAGTTTTGCATTGTCCAGTAGGAGTGCCTTAAAATTAAGGGAACCCGATTACACCACGCTCAAGTCCTAAATGCCTGCGGCGAAGGCGCGACAAAACGTTGCTGACCCCGAAACAACCTCGCATGCACATGCTAAGCAAACAATCTCTCGTCGGCGGTACGTCGATTGCGCGAAAATTAAGGCCCCGAGATGTTGGGGAGGGGGGAGGGAAGGGATGAGACCAAACAGATATACGGTAGGGAGAGGAAAGGGATGGCATGAGGTGGACGGACGGACAAAGCCCCCCCCCCCCCCCCTATCCACCCAAGAAGAAGCAGCAGCCCCCCGGCTTGCCCCCCTCCATCCGCTGTAACAGCAACCCCCGCGTCGAGGACCAGGGGCAGGGCGGCGCCTCGGCTGCTCTATCTCTAGCCTTCTCTATCTCTCTCTCTCTCTCTCTCCCTCTCTCACTCTCTCTCGCTCATCCATTTAATCTTTCTCCTACCCACAACGCTTGGGCTGGCCTCGAAAAAGCGTCTCGCCACGTTCAGGTGCCCACACCGGGCCAACCCGGGCCGTTTGATCCGAGCTCTGGAGGTGAGGAGGCGATACGAGGGATATCGAAATAGCGCTATGAATTCCAGCATAAATGCCGACAGCAAAACCCCGACAGCCGAAATGTGATACTTCCGGTCTTTTTACCGATAAATGGCTTTAAAATATGGGTTTCTGTCGGGATTATGGCGTTCGAATGTTTGAGCGTGTTTCGGCACTCCGAAAACAATGAATCGCTACAAATCAGGGTTCTGGTACATTAGCGGGGGGGGGAGGGATTTACCAAATTTCCTCGTAGATTTTTTGAATACCTCGTTATTTTTGGGGGATTACTTTCTAAAAATATTTTGCATCAAAAAATAAATTGAAAATCATAAAACTAGGGCAGAAAACAATAATTTAAGAATGTTATAACAAAAGAAAAAACAGCCCTGAAAATCGGGCTGTTCAGCTATTTTTCGGGATTTTCGATATTTTTCGATCTATCTTTTCCCCCTTTTTTGGAGAGCCCTATCCCGACGTAATCGTAAAGCACCGAGGGCCCAGGGCGAAGAAGCCACGGAAAGCCAACTGTTGCTCGCCCAGCCGCCCCACTTCATGAAACGACAAGCCCGGTAGAGGATTGCAAAACCGGCGTTTCTTTCGCATTATCGGGGGGACCAAAATTTTTTGTATAAGCCTAGAAATGTCTATTATTCATAGAAATTGTTTTACTATCGTATTTAGTAATCGATAACTATATTTCAGCTAGAAAAACTATCTAAAAAGTTTCTAAATGTGGAAAAAGCCGCAATTTTCGTTGAAAAATCGGCATTTTGGTCGAAAATGATAAATTTTTGATGTTTTTTAATACATTTGTTAGTTTGGACGTTTAAGAATAGTGAAATCAACTTAGAAACCCCTCCACAATTTTTTTGCGCGCAAAAGTAACCCTGTTTTTTCACTGGGACGCTACGGTCCTGCGTTGAGCGTGTCGTAAAAGATGGGTGATTTATACCGCTGTTTTGCATCAATTTTTATATTCTAAATATGCATTAACAAGAAGTGTGTTTTGCCAAGGATTCAGGAAATGGAGCCGGACCCGTAGAATAATAGATAAATGGTACGATAATAACTGGGCGTATAAGAAGGGAGCGATGACATGAAATGTCTCTGATGGGATTGAACGAGCATGAGGATAGGAATAAAGAAAAACGGTTCTGGTTCGTTAGCGGGGGGGGGGTTTATCCGGGCAACGCCTTTTTTTGTCAATACCTTCTCTTATCTTAAATTAAATTAGGTTGGGCAGTGGTGCAGTTTACCCCCCAGTCGACCTCCACCTACCGTATCTCGGCTCCCTGTTCATCTACAGGTGTGTAAAACATAGTATAGTATACTCTCCAGAGCAAGACAAACATTGACCCCCCCGCTAAGGAACCAGAATCGAAAAACAACAAAAACGAGGCGATACTGACTTTAATGCCTAAAAAATGAGGGGATGAGAGCCAGATCAGCCAGCTCACAGCGGCTAGTTGATAAAATAAGGATGAGTTAGCTTGTCGAGTGGCACTCCCCGCAGATATTCGACCTGAAATTGTGAAAGATCAGAGGAACTGGTTCTTTTTGCATTATCAAGGGGACCAATTTTTTTTAGGATTTAATTTTTGAAATATACATGGTGGTAGTGTTTCTAAATGGTTTTTTTAATATTCCTGAGCGTGAAAACTTTACAAATATGTATTAAAAATGATCAAAAATCTCGATTTTTACCACCGAAAATGGCCGATTTTTTACAAAAATTCGACTGTTTAAAAGTTTTTAGATAGTTTTTCGGGTTGAAATATAGTTATAGATTACTAAAAATACTATAAAAACAATTTATATTAAGTTATAAGGCATTTCTAGACTTATCCAAAAAAAATTTGCCCCCCCGATAATGCGAAAGAACCGAAGAACCGGCAAAGCATTAGGGTGGCTGGCATGGGTTTAGCGGCACGCAGGCGATGAGCTTGAGCCTCATCAGCGAAGGAATTCCTGAACTAACCTGGGGAAGCTCCGAGTATCTGGACGCATTAAACGGCCGCGGCAAATAGGTCCTTTTTTGGTGTTCCTAAAGCGGTACTCCACGACGACACGACGCCCTTTTTCACCTTCAACAAACAGAAGAAAGTGGCC